TGTTAGGCTCTAATATGTATAGAACGAAAGAGACAAGCAGTGTCACTGATGTTATGTGACAGAACGATGAAAAAGATGACCTTCATGGGAATCGAACCCATACCTTCCGCTATCCGGGCAGATGTACTACCGTTATACTAGAAAGTGCATCTAAATCATCGTCTAGCGTTAGTGTGATCTAACATTAACGCTAACATATGTTCTCCTCTTTCAGAATATATATAGGTTTTTGAAAAACGATCAAGTTTTCATAGACTTACTGCCAAAAACTCTCACCCTACTGCTACGTTTTTCGAGGTATTTTCGGTTTTTTGATCAGACCGTTCGGTTTTCGATGTCTACGGATTCTTAAAGTGTTGATTTGAATGGAACACATCTAGAGCAAGTAAGAAATCTCTTTTGACACACGAGATCATGATTACATTATGTTTGCGCTCTGTATAGTAGATCTAATTTATTTGCACTTTGCAGAATCGTATACAGATTTTTTAAAATCGAGTTCTCTATGTCTCTCTAGCTGGGTAATTAGTTTGAAGTACAAGAATTGCGATGAAGTTGCTTTAAAATAACCATTTTTTAATTGAGAAATGATAATAACAAATGCAAAAAGAAAAAAATTACAATATGAATCATGCATACTAGTAAAAAGATAAAACTTACTCGAGAAATAAGGGAGCAGTACCACTTCAAGATGATAGATGGCGGTAGATGATACCCTGTGTGATGCCCTCTTCGAAGGTCTAACGTGATAAGTTAGAAAATTTCAGTTTAAAATCAATTTGTACAGTTATACTTAAAAAAAAACAGTTCTAAAACTTCTTTCGCGTTTTTCTCAAAATGCCACTTGGAGACGGTAAAATTGAAATAACTCAGACTTGGCTGAAGCTTTATCCGATATTTTTTTTGTTTTAAAGGTCTCAACCAAATGAAGCTTTTTATCAGGCGGATTTTTGAAACTAGCTTCCTAGCCTGAGAAAAGTCCAATTTACTGCATTTTTTTGGCCTAATTTACAGTCATATCAAATAAAGTATTTATTAAAACTGAATGGAAGTGTATTTCAAAATTCTGTCTGATAAAAAGTTGCATATAGAGGCTAGCTCTAATCTGAAATCAACCCGACCTCGATAGTGCTTATGGTCATTGAGTTATTTCGATTTTCGTGGAAGCTACAAAAGTAGTTGTAAGTCGGGTTCAGTAAGGAATATGAGCCTGAAATTTTTATCATAGACGTTTCTCACTTAGCCGAACAATTGCTGATAGTTTCAGCTCAAACATATCATCCGAAGTGACACTTTGATTCTGAGGGGGGGGGGGCTTAAGAAAGTAAGCTAGTCTTTTGCTTGGTCGTCCTGTGGGCATATATTTAAGGTGTGGTTTAATCCGATAATGTTCATGAACGATGTTGTATATGTGTTTATGTTGTAATGCGTATTCGATGAACGATGGTTCGTATAGTTGGATATTTTTCATACGGCTTAGTAAACATTTTTTGTATCGTTTTTCGAGTGTAGGTAGGTGGAAGTGATGATGTAAATCTTCTGTAGGACAAAGAAATAAGTAGTGGATTAATCTTAGACATCTTCGATAGAATGATGCTAATCGTTCACGAGCGGTTTTCGAGAAAATGCAATAAATTGTTGCCATCATGTACATGTAAGGCCATATATATGTGTTGAAGCATTTGATCTTTAATTTTGTGAATGAAGGAAAGAAAGAAAGAAAGAAAGAAAGAAAGAATACCCTTGCCTTGCGGCTACCTTTCAGTATAGGGCGTTGCCCGGAGACAATTTCAAGAGCCCGATATTTTTCCTACAACTATTACTAGCTGCAGCTCTGGACAGAAGGCCGGCCTGACTCAGAGTTCCTTCCGCTTAATTACTTAAGCTTCCCATGCATACTGAATAACCACATACTATCCATGAGGATATTTTTATGTATGTCACATGTAATCAGCGTGCTATCGGATGGGTGATCCGAGACAAAGCAGCCGTTAGTAACTTGTCCAAGGTTATTCTATGGATGATGGCGCCGAGGTTTGAACACACTATCTTGTGGATATGTGCCGAACATCTTAACCATTCAGCCATAGCGGCCGAATGAAGGAAATTCGCGGTGTATGAATTTTAATATTTCATATGATTTTCTTAATTTTACAAATTGTGCATCAATCATAGAACGAAACGATAGTTTCGCGTCAATGTAGAAACCACGATATTTGAAATCTTTCTTTTGCAATATTTTCACTCCGTTATAGAAAATTTCTAACTTTGATCATTGAACGGAATTGTGATAAACCACATATTCAGACTTCTTCGGATTCAAAGGTTGATGCCAAGTTTCCGTGTAATGTAGCAACTGTAGCATATCCTTGTTAATGCGTTCTTCGATTTCGAGCACTTGAAATTTATATTTTAGATGAAGGGAAGGTATGTAGACAATAGCAATATCGTCTACATATGCATGGACATGTGATGGATTTTCAAAAACTAATGGAAGATCATGATGACTGATAATGTAAATGATTGAGCCAAGACAACTCCCTTGGGGAGCACCTCGTCTGACGTTGATTGGTGTCGATTGTGGATTATTGTACTCAATTTTGAGAGTTCTACTGATGAAATAATTGACGATCCATGCAAGGTAGACTGAGGGACAATTAAGTTTATTCAACTTTAACAGTAATCCTTGATGCCAGAGATTGTCGAACGCTTGTAAAAAGTCAATATAAATGATTGGCGAGAAAGAATTGTATCGAAGTGATTGAGTTAGTTGTTCTAATAAGTATTTGGCTCGAGATGTTGTCGCTTGATGCGCTCTTGCACCTGATTGTTGAACCGGCAAAATATTCATTCTTGAAGACCAATTTTGAAATCGAAGGAGAAATAATTTCTCATAGATTTTACTGAAAGTTGGTAACATTGAAATTGGGCGCAATTGATTTGTAGTCGGTGCTGGGTTGTCACTTTTGTTGAGACAAATGGTTCGAACAGTTTTTCATTCTTTTCCCCAATATGCTGTACGAAATAGATTATTATATGCTTCAGCAAGAACACTATGATATTGTACTGGTAGAAGTTTGATCATTTTGTTAGAAACTTGGTCAAGTCCAGACGAGCTTTTATTTTTTAATGATCGGATGGTGTTTCTAATATCTTGTTCTGTAAATTGAAGATCAGATTGATTGAATCTAAGTTGAATATCATCTTCTTCTGCCTCACTATATAATTTCCATAGCTCATCAGCTTCTTTTTCAAGTAAATTGCTCATGTTCAATGACGGAAGTTCATGACGCTTGGTAAAATGTTGGTTCAAGCAGTTAATTATATCAGTTGTGGATCTGTGAGTTGTATTTCCATCTGTTAATGCACAAAAATCCGTTGGTTTCTTCTTAATCAACTTTTTCTCTGTGCACCAAAATGATGCTGGGTTTGGAGAAGCGGCGTTAGATATAAAGTATTCCCAACTTCGTTGTCTTAAGGCTTGAAATTCATGTTTGGCAAGTGTATTCCAAGAGCGTAGTCTTAAACGATCTTCTTCATTTCTTGAACGTCGATATCTATTTTGTAAGTAGTGCTTGTGTTTAAGGAGCATTCGTATTGATGGTGAAATGGATGGTCGTTTTCGTTTTACTTCTTTCCATATAGTTACTCGAAGTTTGAGAGCCGCTAGAAATTGTTCCAACATCAGAAACCAAGGGAAAGAGTTGTTGGATTTTATCTTTAGAATTTCTTGTTCAGCTTGAAGTTGATCATGAAGAATTGAGAGAATAGACGAGTAAAGTTTCCAATATGTTCGAGGAACGAAGTGCTTGTTCATTGATATATTAAGATTGAAAAATTTTGTCAGTATCGATAGGTGATCACTACCTGCATATGGTAGACATTGACTTTCAGATGTTTCAGGGATTTCGCCGGAAATTATCAGACCAATTGTTGTATCTGAACGTAAAAATGTTTTAGTGCCTGAATTGAGAACGTTCAGGTTGTTTTTGTTGAGCCAAGTTGATAAAAGTCTTCCTTTTGTGTTCACCTGAGGACATTTCCAATCCACGTGTTTGGCATTAAAATCTCCTGCTAAGATCAAGTTCCTTGACTCATTCAGTAATGTTGTCATAGTTTTTAATGGTAATGATTCTGTAGGTGGTGAGTAAATACTTGCTACAATGAATAGCTGATCCTCGATTATCACGCGAACTGCTACTATATTTGGTTCATCTATTGATATCGGTTGGCATTTTAATTGTTTATCTATTGCAAGTACGACACCTCCATGAGAATTTGTACCTTCTTTCATATACACATTGTATGAGAAGAGAAGTTGTTTGATTGTTTTTGTCGGAACCACAGTGCCAAGTTCATTTAAAGATATTATTGTTGGAGAGATAGTATTTACTATTTCGACAAGATTCACTTAATTCGAGTAAAAATGACGTATATTATAATGTAAAATTGAGAGAGAAGTTAATGGTATTTCTGGTTGACAATATTGTTGTTGCCAAAAGAATGAAAGATCATGAAGACGTCTGGTCTAACAACAATCTTGTAGAGTTTCAATTCCAATTTGTTTTTGATGATCCGGGAGATCATCGATGTAAGGTGACAGTTTGTCTGTTAATTCGGCGAATTTATATTTATTGAATTGTGGTGAATTTGTATTAGTCATGATAGACATATGTAGTTGGAGAATCGGTGTGGTCAGTTATTAGTTGCTGGTTGAGATAGTTCGTTTGATGTTTCTGGTTCAACAATATTTCATTAATTTTATTATTAAAGGCATTAAAATCCTCTTGTCCATTTCTTTTCTTCGGTGATTGCAATGATATTCGACCTAATAGTTGAATAGATGGGAGAATAATTTCATTAATAATCTTTTCTAATTGACATTGGCGATCAGCATAAACATCTATTTTCTTTTCGATATCACATAATTGTGATGACAAACGAGAAGAAAAGTTTTCTAACCGGCTATCCATTTTGGATATAAATGATGATAGAGTATATTCGATATTTTGCTGTGGATTTTGTTTACGTTGCTTTAGAATTGCTTGCGCATATGATCGTTGAGATGATTCCGTGATTTGTTGTTGCATATGAGAGGGTATATTCCGCGGGTCGTCATTTGCTAAAGCTGGATGATCATTTTCTTGAAAATTATATTGATGTTGTTGTCGATCAGTTAGTATCAATAATTCTGCTTTTTGTTTCTTTGATTGTTCGACCAGGTTCCGACGTTTTTCTTGAACAATCCCAGGCTCGGATTGTAACGTGAAAATGCCGTTTTAATGGGGTGAAAAATACATCATTTTAATGGGATAAAACTGTCACAAATAATGCCGAAAAATGCTTTATAAAAAATTATTATAATGGGTTATATAGCATTTATCTTTTGATATTTTCCTGCCATACAAACATCGAACGCTTGTTTAAAAAAAGCTTTTTAGATGTTGCATAACCGTTATCTTCCTGTTATCCCAACTAAGATTCCACTTCAGATCGTGTAGATAGATTCATTGTGAGATTTATTATTGATTATTTAAAGTACTTACATTTATCACCTGGATTCGAACACATGACATATTCATGATTGCCAAACTTCTTAGCCATTCGACTAGATTCACGCTCAAGTTATAAAGTATGAAACATACTCTTAAATTAAACGATGTTCTCTTGAATAACTTACTACGAAAAAATCGGAATAATATATTTCAATACAATTTATTTCTTTGAAAATGAAAGAAGATTTTAAGAATATTATTAAATTAACTCATTTGTTTTACAATTCATACTTCAAACGAATTAATATTTAAAAATGTATTATGTATTGAATAAATTATTTAACCGATAAGAATACCTTGCAATAAATTTTAAATATTTTCAGAATTTTTTTCTGAGGATTTTTCTCTTTAACACGTTAAAAGTAACACTTATAAATGGCTAATTTTTTAAAAGAAAATTATTATTCAAAATTCATCACTTTAATTTTGTAGGACTCCTCAGTTTTCTAAAGCTCTGGACATTTTAAATACGATACTCAAGACTACGCATAAGATCAAACAAAGTATCAAACCAAAACATTTAAATTTACAGAATATAAATAATACATTTATAATGCTAAAAAATGGGTCTTTGAATTAAAATGCATTGTAATGCCCTTTTTATAATTTCTAAATGGTCTAAGTTACATTTTAATGCCCATAATGGTCTATTTAAGAGAAATAATGGATTTTAATGACCATTTTAACATTATTCATTTGACTGGATAGGCTTTAAAAGATAGAGTCAGTTTGCTTAAAATGGTGAAAATGATCTACTTATAGATTGAAATGCATTTTAATGAACGTTTTCCCATTTTCACAGAGTAAAAATGCATTTAAATGCCCAAAATGGTCAGGTTACGGAGAATCATCCGTTAAAATGGTCATTTTTTCATTATTCACTTGACAGGGATTGGGCATGCTGAATTACCGGACATATGATCGTTACCACCACAATTAATACACCTTTCATGATTTGGACATCCATTTTCAAGTGAATGTGCTTCGGCACATCTTGGACATAAGCGAGGTAGAGAACATGTTTTTGTTGAGTGATCGTGTCGCAAGCATTTCAAACATTTATTTATACGTATTGGTAGATGATAAGGTTTTACTGGATGAATCATACTTCCAACATTTATTTTTCCAGATCGAACTAGTGTTTTAACTTCATCAATAGATTTAAAATCTGCTCGAACAGCATTTAATGGAGAACCTTCCTTGACCCGCATTCTTGTAATTCTATATAAAGAAACATAATGCTGTTGTAATTCAGTAAGCCATTCATCTTCGTTCCAATTGCGATGAAATTGTTGGATGATGAGTGAATATGCTGGTGGAAGTTGTCTGGGGGTCTTTACTTCAATATCAACATCTTTTAATGTTTTTGGCCATCGACTTGGATCCAATAAAGATTCAAAAGTCGATGAGTCATCGGCAAAAATAAGAAGAGAGTGCATATGACCAAACCATGCTGTTAATACTAAACCAATTCCATGCTGATTTTTCCATGACAATATTAGATCATCTTGATTTCCTTGATCGATGCTCGTTGATCACCATTAAATTTAACAACGATCGGAGAAAATAATATTTTTGAGTTTGTTGCTGGATGAGTCATCATTTGTTGTGTTGACTCTAGTTGACGATGAGTTTCTGTTTGCTGTTGACCAGGTGGAGACATGTTACTTCTCTGCCGCTTATTTGTCATCTGTTCGTTGCTGTGATTTCAGTTCGGCACTGGTGTCTGTTGTAAATATGGATTCGAGACTACTGATGAGTCACATTCCCCGTTATGATTCATAGGCATAGCGGGGGATATATCGAAAGAGAAAGTTAAGGAACGTACGTAAGAATCGATGTGTATCCGACCAAACGATTTGAAAGAATTGATATCTCGTGGTATTTCATTAATAATCTTACAAGTGACCAAAATAGAGCGACTGATTTTCTTGAGGGTGTGTGGGTGTGAGCGTAAGGGTGAGGGTGAGGGTGAGGAAGTGAGGGTGTGAGGGTGTGAGGGTGTGAGGGTGTGAGGGTGTGAGGGTGTGAGGGTGTGAGGGTGTGAGGGTGTGAGGGTGTTAAGAGCTATTCATCTATTCTAACCGTCACCCTCACCCTCACCCTCACCCTCTAGGCCAGCAAGATTCTTTTTTATACGAATTAGCCTATTGTTTTTGAACCATACCTATAAACAAATATGACAATAGGTATAGAGACGTATCTTCATCTATATTGCACATATCATCTTCCATGTCATGTGCTTGGCAAAACCGTGCAAATGGAAAGAGAATGCTAACTCGTCAATATGGATGTTTTAGTGACACCATTTTAAACTACAAAAGTATTAGACTGAGACTGTGTCTACTGGGAACCTTTGAACAATCCATATTCAATAACATTTAAACCTATATACAAGATCAATCATTTATCCTTTGACGAAAGATTCCATTGAAGAAAGCTCTCTATAAAACTATGTTTTCTGAAGCTATTTTGTTTACCCTTTTTTAGGTAATCATTCCAGGCACATCGGCCCATTTAGTAGCTTGATACTAACAAGTGGATCCTATAGGATAAAAGAAAGATATACAATGAAGACTTTGAAATCTCCAGAAAATGTTATTCATGATAAAAAAAAACCTCTTGTATCTATATCGATGGCAATGTAAGCGTATCGTATCGTATCTTTAGCAAAGACTGCAAAAATATGATCCATTTTTATTCGAGCAATAGGCGTTCGTATTTAATGAAAATGACAAATAAAATACATTGATAAATAGACGTAACATTATGAAATCGATTTCATGCCAATATGCCTAGGTGTCCGTATTTGAAAAATGGTTGGTCATGCGGATCAACGCTACCAGCACGATTCATTAGTAGACAGGCTCTAGTTCATATGATGTTTCACCAGTAGAAGTATCCGTAGAAATACTACTCTTAGTAAAAGATATGACGATTCGCTAAAAATATTTATCTAAAAGCAAGAATCTGACTAATACGTATTTCTTTAATTAATTTGTTATTTCCAAACTAGTCGGTCAATTTTGTAGTTCTACATTGGGGAAAATCATAGGGTTCACTACAAACAATGATCAAACGTTTGTTTATAATTTATATGCGATATTACTGCACTGTCATGAAAAGAAAGAGAGAATCTGAAAAGGAAACAAGTGACTTGAACGTTGAGAACACGTTGATTGACGCCAAAATGAGTTGAAGATCTGTTTATATCTATATATTCGAATAAAGAGCGAAGATACTGACCAACGAAAAACAAGTAAAATGAATGCAACAAAAAACGTGAGATATAATTATACTGTTAAGACTGCAGCATTTCTTTTATTCATTTAATTTAATTGTGATTGTGATTGTAATCACAATGGACAAACTGCAAGAATAGTGCTAGCGATATATCCACTACACTGTAAAAAAAATCGTAGAATACTAAACCCTAGTACTAAAAAAGGTTTCATAAACCCTTGAAGGGTTTATGTTTTTGTCCGAAACTGTAAAACCGTTTATTGCCTGAAGCGTTTATGAAACTAAGGGTATTTGAAAATAAAAAGGGTTTGTGAATCTACGATGAAGGGTTTATTATTCTACGGTGAAAGGTTTATTATTATACTCTTGCATTGAAGGGTTTCTTATTCTGCGGCGAAGGGTTTATTGTTCGACCCTTGTATTCAAAGGGTTTATTGTTCGACCCTTGTATTCAAAGGGTTTATTGTTCGACCCTTGTATTCAAAGGGTTTCTTATTCTACGATGAAGGGTTTATTACTATACTGTTGCGTTAAAGGGTTTATTATTGTACCCTTTCATGAAATACTTTTTGCACTAAAAAAAGTCAAATTGGACACGTTATACATATATATATATCAAAATGATTTTGGTTTTTCTGGTTGATGACACTTATTCATCAAGTATTTTTCTGGTTAGATAGGGAGTCGTACGATAGAAACACAGATTAATGAAAAACGCACTGCATAACTTTAGCTCTCTCTATGTTGCAATAGCTTGTAATCTCACATTGAAAGATTATCATTCTTCATTAGTTAGATCAAGCTGAAAAACAAAATGAAACTTTGTTTTATGTAGATGAGGCTTCTATAAAAAGAAATGTAAGTATTTATTCATAAATCTTGAAGAATTTCATCAGTAATTTAAAACATTGTATGCAATTATTATTATTTTGAATCAACCGCTTTTGATTTAGCATCTTCGAATCGATCCGATCAAATGGAAGCATTACTTTTTATATATGCTTATTTTTTTCCAGCCTTTTAGTTGGATAGGAAAGAAAATTGGAAACCGTAGGTAAATATAGTAGTTTTATTAAAATTATTGTTCTTAATCTTTTAGTCCAATTTCACATTGAAAATTCTAGGTAAGTAAAATCTTTGTATTTTGATTATTGTTTCATCCTTTAGTTCTATTTGGAACTGAAAATCGTAAGCAAGTATAATTTATTTCTTAGAATTATTGCTTTTAATGTTTTAGTTAAACATAGAAGTGGAGATTCTAGTTAAGTAAAATTTTTGTATCTGAATTATTCTTTTTGTTTTCTTTTAGTCAATTTTAAATTCAAAATCGAACGTAAGTACAATTTTTCACTGAAAAATTATTATTTTTATGGTTTTAGTTCAAAATTCGAAATTGTAATCACAAGTATGTATAATTTTCATTAAAAAGTTATTATTTTCATTCTTTTAGTGTAGCAACAACTTCAAAATCAAACGTAAGTATAATTTTCTTTCAATAATTCTTATTTTTATTCTTTTAGTGCAAAAACAAATTGAAAATCAAACGTAAGTATAATTTTTCATTAAACACTTCTTATTTCTCTTGTTTTAGTCCAAAAACAAATTCAAAATCGAATGTGAGTATAATTTTTCCTTAAATAATTCATATCTTTTTTCTTTTAGTACAAAAACAAATTCAAAATCTAATGTAAATATAATTTTTCCTTAAATAATTCTTATTTTTATTATTTTAGTTCACAATTCGAGATCGCAATCGAATGTAAGTATGATTTTTCATTAAATAATGATTGTTTTTATGTTTTAGTTCAAAATTTGAAATCGCAATCACAAGTAAGTATAATTTCCAATTAATAATTCTTATTTTAATTCTTTTAGTGAAAAACAAATTCAAAATCATAGGTAATTATTATTTTAAAAAAATAATATTTTTAATTTTTTTCGAATAGGTTTGCTTCAATGGCTTATGAAACGGAACATGATTTTTGGCTAAAAGTAAGTTTCCCTAAACTTGTCAGAAGGGTATTTGAAAGGGTTTAGTAAGATACTAAACCCTTGTATATACCCTTCTATGAACCCTTTTGAAGGGTTTATGATAGGGTTTATTGATTCCCGAAACGGTTTCATAAACGCTTCTAAGGGTTTATGATAGGGTTTATGGTTTTCATAAACCCTTATAAGGGTTTATTAAAGTGCAACGTATCGCAAACCCTTAAAGGGTTTATCGATTTCATAAACCCTCTACTAAACCCTTTGAAAGGGTTTATGAAAGGGTTTATTACTTTCCTAAACCCTTTCATATACCCTATGGAAGGGTTTAGTATAGGGTTTATTACTTTCTTAAACCCTATCCTAAACCCTTTGGATGGGTTTAGGAATGTTTTATGTACGGTAAAAAGGGTTTGTGGTACGTTGCACTTTAATAAACCCTTTTAGGGTTTATTATTCTACTTTTTTTTTTACAGTGTCGGTCATCGATTTTATCTTCACTTTTCCATCTTCTAATCTATTTCTGTTCTTTCTTTTATTCTCACCGTATATACATTATGTCACTCGGTTATACGAGAGAAGGAAAGAAAGCAAAAGAAAATATACATGCATATCCATAAAGAGAGAAAGAACAATGATAGTTACACTCAAAGAAATCGGGCAGATATTATTGAACAGAATAAGAACGAGAAATAGCCAATCTCGCTATATACATCACACTAGCGCGATGTCGTAGATAACATCATCTGCGATTAACATATCAATATATGCTATTAAAATGTCATTTGAAGCAAATAAAAGTACAATGATCGTTTCCCAGGTCGAGCAATCCGACAGTAGACACCTATCGGAACCCATCCGATCCGACTGGAATCCAATAGAATTTTATCGGATCCTGTCAGATCTTACAGAATTATCGTTGGATTCCGAGTCGAGGAATAGATGTCGGATCATAAGTGTCGGATTCCTATAAATTCCAACAAAAAACCGTTGGGTGTCATCGGAAGTTCATAGGATTCCGACACTGAGGATCCGACATCAATTCCTTGACCCGGAATCCAATAGGATTGTAGGATATTTCCAGGTTCCTATCGGATCCGATATCGGATCAGTCGATCAGGGTTTGAGAGTGTGACAAGCTTCCATGATACTGTAACATTTAGAGAATCTTGACCTATGACACGAAATATTTCAAACGATTCACATCAGT